AGAAGGCTTGGGGGGGGGGCTTGAGTTTTCCCACCCCCTCTCCAGCCCGAAAAAGAAAGCCTCAAACTCCCGGACTCGAACGTGGCGCGGCTCTGCCTGGGCTAAGCCCTTGCGTAAGAAGAGACCTCGCCCCCCATCTCCGGCAAGCTGCAGAGACGTTGCCTCACATGCTTAAATCCTCGGCGCTCTCTGGGAACAGTTTGACAGCAGAAAGCATGTCTGCTCTTGGCACCGGGCGGGGAAGGATCGGGCTTCTTTCTCTCTATCCTTTACTTTTAAATTTTTTTTAAAATACATAAATTTTTTTAAAAGGGCAGTTTTTTTATTGCTGGTGCTGCTGCAAAGGGTTATTAACGCAGCAGCAACTGTGCCAAAACCTCGGATGTAAAAAAGAGAGAGAGAGAGAGAGAGAACGAGGGAAAAATTGGGAGAGGAGGTTCTATTAATAAATGTAAAAACAGCGTCCCCTCTTCTTACTGTGCTCAATACTGAACAAGCAGCTGCGTTTCTGATCTCGGCAAATTCTGGTAACTTCAGTGGCAAAGATGGGATTCTATTTTCCTTCCGCCCCCTCTTTTTTATGCCCTCCCTCCTTTTTTCTTTCTTTTCTTCCCCCTTTTTTTAAATTAGGGAAGGAGGAAAGGTACGTATTTATAATGGAGATGTGTCTGATTTTTTTTAAAAATATGATTAATTTAATAAAGAATACATAAAAACTTTAAAAAACCACACAAAACAACTTTGTGACAGATGTTTTTGATTGTATTTGATTTGATTTTTTTAATTATTATTTTTGGTAGTAGGTCCAACCTGAATTAAATGAACCAAAAGCCAAGCTTATGAGGGAGAAGGATACATTTGGTGACTGTTGATGCTCTCTTCCTTTCTCATCAAGAATTCTCTTTTTTCTCTCCTCATCTGGTGCAGTTTTTGCATATGGGCTTTGGGAGATGTGACGACTCATTTACAGGAGAGCAACAATATCATGGAAGAAAGAGGGGAAATGTCCCTCTTGGCATAGGGGAAATCCTAAACTGACAGAGGGGACATTTGCATTGGCAGAATAGCCTACTCTCCGGATTGCTTTTGGTGCTGTTTGTTTGTAGTGGTCACACGTGTTTTGATTTAGAGCCTCCGTACTGGCATATAGATATGGTACATGGATCACTGATGTCACAGTTTGGATTGGGGAAAAAAATAAAGACTGTCTCTGCTTGTGTTTCTGTTGTAAAGATCCATCTTTCCACTTTAAGAGCTGCCACACACCCTTCTGGCCCAGTTGCAGGGCATGGATTCTTTTTGGCACACTTATTGTTTAGTCTGGAGATAACAGCCACCAGCAGCCTCCACCATCATGAATGCAGATTCCAAGGGAAGAGGGAGAAAAGTGGTGTGAGGGAGAAAACATGGGAAGGGAAGCAGAGACAGGGGAAGGAACAACACAGAACAGCAGGGAGAAAGGAAGAGAGGAGCAACGTAAAAGAATAATAATAATAAATTCACTTCCCCTGACCTTCCAACAAATGATCAGAGGAAGCACTTATATGACAAATGATCAGGCTACAAGGAGTCGTTTGCTGTTCAGTTGGGAGGATCATGCCAAATGGTACATTGATTCCCCCCCTGACCTCAATTAACCCTTTGTAGCCCTATCTATCCCACATCCAAAATGACCAGTCTGATCAGTCTCTTAGAGAAATCCATCCCATCTCTTTTTTAGAGCATTTCCACCCTTTTTTAGTGTATCCCCACTCCTTTTTGGCACAGAGGTTGTGCTGCAGGTTTTTTGGCTTGATTTGAACTGCTCCTATTTATCCCATTCTGTAGCCTGTGTGGATGGTTTGTCTGCACCAAAATAGACCTGTGGCATCTGACATATTTGCTGGGATACAGCATTGAAAAGAACAATAGGAGAACCCCATTCTCTATTTTCATCAACTCTACCATTCTAATTTTTTGAAAGTCATCATCATCAACAACATCATCTTAGAACTGCAGAGCTGGAAGGGACCCTATGGATCATCAAGTCTAGCCATTGTCAAGGAGTCACAGTGGGGAATCAAACTCCTGACCTCTGACTCCACTGCCAGAAACCTAAACCACCGAGCTATCCAGCAATACATATTTCCTTTTGATGCAGTGCGATTCTGTATAATTGAGATGCATTGTCATTATTATTATTATTATATAGCAGGTAGATGTATTGCTGTTTAACTGTGTCTAGAAATGGGCATGAACCACTAGTTCAGCAGTTTGTGCCAGTTTGCAAGAGTGTCATTAATCAAATGGGAGACAAATTAGGATGACCTGTCTGGACCCTTCTCATGAAAGAAGAAACACTGATCAGCATGGATGGAAGGATTGCTCAAATGAGAGGCAAAACAGATCTCAGTAAACATAAGAACCTTTAAAATGTGATCCAGAACACTCTAACGTCCCCATCTGAACATGCCCTGAGATGTTTCATATTGATACAAGATCTATGTAACATCCTATCGTACCCAGTGATACAGAGGTGGGGGCTGGGGGAGATTGTAGAGCTAAAATTTTCTTTGGCTTAGAGGGCCAATACAATATCAAAATGTTCAGATGATCGTTTTCTCATGGTGACTTAGGGGAAAGCTACACTAAGCAAACAGGCCTCACCAGCAGCTGTCACTGCAGCAGATTTGGCAGGCATCGCTGTGTGTCAGTCAAGTGGGAATACACACACACACAGAGAGAGAGAGAGAGAGAGAGAGAGAGAGAGAGAGAGAGAGAGAGAGAGATTCAATCCATGTGATGCAGGTGTATTTGTAGAAACATCTGAATTTTCAGGCACATGGAACTGACCATATGTTCAGCAATTTTAAAAACTTCAGACCTACAGCTAAGAGAACCTGTACTGGACCAGATGTTGTAGAACCCCAACCTTCAGCAGCTCTTGCCAAAATTGCCAATGTTGATGGATGTGTAGTTTATAAACACAGTATCTGGAAGACCACAGTTTCTCAATCCCTCATCTTCACTTACCAATTTTTATTTTAGATATACAGTGAAAAGTGCATGGGGAATGGAATGAGAACTTACGCACCATACACATTGACTATTCAGAGGCAGGAAAGATTGCAGGTCCTCTTGAATGTACAGTAGTGTTTTTATTCATTCGTTTGTTTGTTTGTTTTAATTGTGCAATGTATGAAATAGTCTTTAAAAGCCCTAGATTTTGGCTGTCTAGTTATTTTTCTAAAAAATAAGTTTACTGGTTTCATTTATCTATGCTTTTACTGAAAACAAACTAGCCACTGAGCAGGTGGAATTAGCCTCACTTTGTGAAAACAGCAGAAAATAGTAAGAAAAATATAATGCAAGAGGAAAGCAAAGATGGACAGCTGGTGGGGGAGTGTCTATCTCCCAGCCAGGGAAATGAAAGGACTCTTGTCCAAATGGCCTGTTCAAGAGAGACCAGCTCAGGAAAGCTAAACTGACAAAGGAAGAGTCTAATGAAAGTCTGTCTCTCAGATGTGCCTCTTCTCGTGGTGATAAGCTTGAGAAGAGTAGTGTTATCAAAAGTACTAGTCCGTCCGTCCGTCCGTCTGTCCATCCGTCCACTTTAAAAAAGTAAAAACAGAGAGTATTAGATGCAGTGGGTGGGGATGGGCATCAGTGGTTCATAGAAATTGATTCTTAATAATAAAGACAATGTGGGTAACTTCTAGTGGAAAAAAATATTGATTAAAACTCACTTTTTATTTAAAATATGGGCCTTTCCAGATGGGGAGGATTTGGAGCAGTCTGGTTCAGGCTTAAAAGGTTCTTGTCTTCAGTGTGGTCCTATCTTATCTCATACTTGATGATCTCTTCACACTAAAGATGTTTATTCTGTCATGAGAAAGATTCAGACAGGTTTTGGAATTACCGGTTTACACGCTTGCAAGTTTACCTAGTTTACTCATGAGTAAAGAAGCAACAGCAGCAGGGGACAGTGACAGTGCAAAGAAGCTCACAGTAGCTTTACTGGTGGTACTGGTGAGAAGGAAAAACATTGGGGTGAAGGTTGGAGAGGAAAGAAAGGAAATAATTCCCCCTTTCCCCACTTTTCTCTTCAGCTGGGTTTCTGATGCCTTGTGGGAACAAAGTCCATGGAGTCGAGGTATCCCCCCTCTTTTTCCATGGCCATCATGTGGTGATTTTCCTTTGTTAAATAAAGTAAGTGGCATAGTGAAACGACAATGCATCAACATAGTACGGTATACCTATTACATATTTTATACCGAAGGACACCTCTAATGTATTAGAATGGTCACATCAGATGATGCCGCCCACAGCTCCATTTCGATGTGAACTAACCAATTGCACAGGCTACACAATGGGACAATCAGGAGC